GCACACGAGCCAGATGTATACACTGGACCTCCATTTTAAGTCCTTATCCGAGAAGACTTGGTTCTACCAACCGAACCATGGGCGAGGAGCTGCTGGAACAGCGCCGATGTTAAAGGTTGTAGCTAGCGGCGCCCCTGCCCGCTCGGGCACTCGACTCGCCTGGATAACAGTTTCTAGTTATTATTACCTCATCAAGCGAATGGTATACGTTATAATCGAAACCCTCTGAACTTGGAGCGTCTCTTTTAACGACCCTTGATCTGAGTGATGGGCGTATTTGGTCATCAATAAGCACCTGGATATCTTCAACGGCAATCTCAGCGCTTAATCCATAATTTCCAAGAAGCGCCACCAAATCCGATTTCATTTCAGGTGACACCATTATATCAACCGGCATACCTACTTGTTGGATGTTATTCCAGAAATCCACCTGTAATTATGATTATTTCAATTACTAGATCATTTTAAGTGTACAGTACTTAATATGTGATCCACTATGTAAACACCATCATAATAGTGATAATAGGCTCACAATGATTATGATGGTGTTGATGATGATGGCGATGATGATGAGGATCATGATCATTATGGTGCTAATAATGATGATAATAATGATGATAACAATAATAATAATAATAATAATAATAATAATAATAATAATAACGATAGTTATAATGATGATGGTGTTAATAATAATAATAATAATAATAATATGCCTAATAATAATAATAATAATCAATAATAATAATAATAACAATAATCAATAATAATAATAATAATAATAATAATAATAATTAATAATAATAATATAACAATAAATATAACTTAATAAATCAGGTACCGTATAGAAGTAACAATATACACGCGGACAACTTTTGGTGATGACATCATAGGTCAGGAGTATGATAGATATATATTATGCTTCTTCACTTGCTTAATTAAAGTTAATCAAATAATATAAATACAAAAACTTAAATATTCCTAATGATATACCGTATATATAAGACAATTGTTAGTAAATGTAACATGATTATATTAGTATAAATGGTCTTTTACCTCATCCCCTTCAGTCATGTCCCTGGATACTCTAAGTGAAATGACGTCATCGGCTGTGTTTGGGATAGTGCGAAGAAGTTTGTACCTGCAACAAAATAAACACAATAGTAAAATATAATGTAATGTTTTAGTAGGACCACCGACTATACAAATAATACGATCGAATGGGTATACATAAAGTATGTCCCTTAATAATTATACAAAAACAACAAACAAGAATAAAGCTAACAATTAAAATTGAAAAGTTGTCTGGTAGAAAGAGAAGAAAAAAACATTATTAGCAACAACATCGTCATGTTTACAGGATGTAAATTGTAAATGCTGGTACCACTGTGAATAAAGAACTTAATAATTGCAACATTATCCATAACATACATTAAGTTTTTGTTTAACAGGAAGGTTTGTGTTGATCTGAGTCATATATAATAATAGCATTTTATTATTATTGATAATGAAAATATTATGGTAATATTAATGATAATACTAATAGTGATAATAATACCTAGTCTATAAAATGGGAATTCTGTATGTAATTGCTAAATATTAAAAGATATTATTATATATCTGTTGATTAACTTACCCATCGTATCGTCGTTGTGTTGCGTAACAACAAACAATGACTGCAGAAATATATAGAATAGATGACGTCATAACGAGGACTTGTCAGTTACCATAAAGATATTAAATGCAACATAACGATATCTTCAATGTCTGAGGACAAATTTGTAATACATGAAACTAATATTTTTTTTTTAGTTAGCCTAATTGAGAAAGAAAATTCAGGACGGTGAGGTAATAAACATACTCAATACAATTTAATAGGCCTATTTAAATATCTTGCTTTGTATATTTCAGTGAGTAATTAGCATTCAATGGAAATACAGAATGAGGAAATATTAACTTTGTCATCGAACCCAAAAATAAAACCATTCTTTGCATAGACCCGTTCATTGGCTGGTGAATAATTTAAATTTTTTCGTATTAAGCCTGAAAATCCGGGAAAACAAGTTTATTTAAATTAAAATTATTTATATTTGTCGGCCATTAGAAATTAATACTTAGTTGATTCCTTTGAATAATGTACGAGCATTTCAATGTTTAAAGCTGAATTTCCAATTGTGTTTTTATTTATTTTTAATTCTAGTCCTAATTGTAGTCCTACTTAAAGCTCAACACAGAACGTAAACAAAAATCATAAACTTACATGAATGGTACTAGAAAGAAATGAACATGACTGTAATCCGGGTTTGGTCTAATCATAAAGGTATCGTCAAACCAAACAGAATGAAACTGACAAAGATTTAACCATCTGGTGTTGACAATCACCTGCTGACGCCAGACCGATTGACAATTCTATTGTCATCCGGATCAATGCCAATTGATGAAAAACGATAATGCGCTAATGTATGCGCTGATAATCTATTGATATCAAATATTTACAATTATAGTATTTCAGTTTTTCGGCTTAAAATTGTATGATGTTTCTTTTATTTATAACAACTCCCGGGCTTAGATAATTAGCATACTCGGCAATGACCAAAACTAAAATTGATGTGGATTCGCAAGACAACTTAAAATTGACAATTACGCTTTAAGCATCTATAAAACTCATTATTGAAAAGTAAACTACTCGAACTTAGAAACATAGGGACACATAAAATAAGAACAACACAAACGAGACACATTCCATAAGAAACAACTTCGCAAAATCAACCGTATTAATTTTCCAGACAAGATCTCCAATAGGACATTGTACAAAAGAATGCAAACAATTGCCCGTCTCAATTGAAATCATTGACGCAAGGAGGTTTGGGCCATATACTCAGACAGGACCCAGGTACGCAAACGCAGCAATAAATATCTATTTCAACAACAGCACTAGGCCTAATGCCAAATTCTGAGGACAGCCAAGAACTACCCTACCAATAACTCTAAACAATGACCTACAAACCATTCACAAGGCAAACAACAATATAACATACCCGAGTTTTAAATCAGTTGAAGACAATAAAAGACATAAATGAACTAAAACAACTTGCCAATGAACGGTCGGCCTGCATGGAACAAACTTCTACAGCCCAAGCGGAATAGTTGACAGACTACTTGATAGAGAGGAAATAAAGTAAAGTGAAGTTAATATACCGGAATTATTGCTGCGTATTAGTCTTGTACGGATTTACCTTCTATATTGTTAATCTGAAATGGGATTTATTCCCTGTTGAAAATATCGATCAAAATCGAATCTACATATTCAAAAAACATGCTGAGCGATTTGTTAAATAATTACTATGTGCCAATATTTCATCCAGTTGTTCTTTGTGGTGATAATGGGTGAATAGTCTCCGGCTGTGTTACTGTTGAAAGTCTGGGACTTGAAAACTGGAGACTATAAGAAAGTTAGGGCAATTGTGATTATCTCATTAAGGAAAACATTGCCCGTAGCACCTTTCATACATCGTACCATAAATAGCCTCTTAAATATTTACTCACTAAAACAATGATTGTCACAACAATCATTCATTTTGTCAAAGAACAGTTTAGGGGTCTAGTTTAGAACATTAAATTACTATAGTTTTACTATTATTATATTTCATCCAATTGTTCTTTGTGGTAATAATGGGTCAATAGTTTCCGGCTGTGTTAAGCTCTGTCTACCACTATCAAATTTTGTGTGACAAAAAAAAATGTGATTTGCCCATATATGGGTACAATGACGTCATATCACATACTTTCAAATTGCATCAAAAAAGGTTGAACGTGTTCAACTTTTTTTGATGATGTCTGTCAAATTTTTAGAAAACACTTTTATGACCAATAAGCAAAGACTACAAATCACAGCAACCATTCGGATTTGATAATTCAGTTTCATCAAAATACATCACAATATTTGATGCAGTTTGATGTGTTTCTTATCTCAGCCCCAACCATGGTTGGCCTAAATATAAAAGATATCAATTAGGCCTAATCAAATTTTTTCAACATAATTGCCATTTAATGTTAAATCAAACCTCATACGATACGATAATTCATCATCTCTTATACACATCTAGATGTGTATAAGAGACAGGTTAACTGCTACCTTTATTTATATATATATATATATATATATATAGGGCCTATATATATTTATATATATATTTGCATGTGAGTATATAAGGTGTTCTGTTTTAATTGATTGCTCTTAGGTTTATAAATATGAAATAGTAGATTATATTTACGTACTGTTATGTATGCTTGTTCAGATAATTGTCTGTTCAACTGTATGCTATGCAAACATGCCCGTATATTTTCTTAAAATTGAAAGCACTAAATTATTGCGGGTAACACAACACGTTCCAAGGAGCCATTTGTATTTGAGTACTTGCTCGTGAACGAGGAAGGATGACGCGTAGTTGGGCGGTATTTGTCTTATGCCTGCTGTCTGTTGCTCAAGGCGGCCAGTATTCCAAGTAAGTAAATCCAACCGGCCTACCTCCCAATGAAGACGGTTAATTCTTAATTAAAAAGAAAATACAAGTCGGAATAGCAAAATTGTATAACCAGGTCGTAGTTTGGTTTAGGTGTATTATGGTTCTAGGTATCAGGTGAGCATGCTTACAAAACTCTTGCAGCCAAAAGTTGCACATTCTTGTTAAAAACATTTATATACCTAAGTTTTTAAAAATGTTTAACCACATTTTAAAAAATTAACTAGGAATGTAAACTGTGATGGCCTATTATAATGCATCCCGTTTAGTTTCCTTTTATAGTCAGATGAAAAATTCCAAACATAGTATATATATATATATGTATATATATATATATATGTATATATATATATATATATATATGTATATATATGTATGTATGTATAT